AAGTAGTCATAAAAGAAGGTAGGAAGACACCTTTTAAGAATGGTAGGCCATCATATGATTGGTACAGGCGCTTTATGAACAGACATAAGGATATTCTAGGCATAAGACAAGAATCTTTACTAGAATCTTCTAGAGCTAAATTAACAAAGGCCAAATTAGATGACTGGTATAGTTCATACACAAAATTTTTAGCGGAAAAAGATCTAATGAATAAACCAGAACAAATCTGGAATGCAGATGAATCAGGATTTAGTTTGGGAAGTAAAGCTGGGAGGGTAATAGGACCATCAAGGACCTCATTTCCTACACAAGTACCACATTTGGCTGGGAGCTCTAGCAAAGCAAGACTGACTGTGATGTTTTGTGCCAGTGCAAGTGGGTCAATCATGCCTCCTTTCTATGTGTACCCAAAGCCCCCTCCTAAAGGTATTAATCCTTTAAGCTGTAGTATTCCTGGAGGAAAAATTGAATATACTGATAAAGGGTGGATGGATGGACCAACATTTGCTAAGTTCCTTGATCATTTTGATTCCCATATTATAACAGAAAGACCTGTTGTGTTGTTGATTGACTCTGTAAGCAGTCATATTGGTTCAAAAATATTCCAAGAAGCAAGAAGTAAGAAGATTGAATTATATAGAATTGTACCCAACGCCACGCACCTCATGCAGCCTTTGGACAAAGGTGTTTTTGGCCCCATGAAAACTCAGTGGTATAATACTGTAAGAAAACATAATCGTGAAAACCCTGGAATTCCAATAAACAAAGGTAACTTTGCAGAGAAATTAAAAGATGCCTACAATGAATTTTATAGGCCAAGTATTGCTGTGAATAGCTTTGCCTCTTCAGGAATATATCCAGTAAACAGGGCAGTCATTTCTGATGATCAGCTAAAAACAGGCTTAACTTTTAACACAGACAGTGAACAATTAGAAAAGGATTCTGTACAAAAGGAGTCTTCTGATCATGCTGAATCTCAGTGCCTAAATGAGAAAGTCTTTAACACATATGTCAGTGTACTAAAAACACCAGTCAAAGAAAAATATGAAAAACGACAAGCAGAGGGATACAATTTGCATGGAGTTTCCCCTGGGTATGACACATATATATTGCTTAAATCAAGGATTGGTAAAGAATCAAGTTACCAAGAAGATTCTATACAAAAAAAAGATAAGTCAACAGTTACTTCTAGAGAAGGCTGTGTTAACATTGATCAAATACAAGGTCAAAAGTCAGTTCAAGGACTACAATTATTAGCAGATGCTGCATCTCGCATGACACCCTGTGACACTTCAGACTTTGTTCAGAAGAGAAAAGTATCAGATGAATTCAATGTCCAAGATGTGTCGCCAGTTATGAAAGCCGCACTTGTCATGCCAAAAGTCAAAGAAATTAAAAAGAAGAAACGAACAAGCATACTTGATAATTTGCCTGATAACTTAACTAGTCCAGAGACTATCAGAAAACTTGCTTTGAAAGACATAGAAAAAACTAGACAATTTGCAAACAAGGAAAAAAGAGCCAAAGCAACATATCTTTTAAAATCAAAAAAAAGTAAAGATAAACAAAATTTGAAAAAAACAGAAACAGTCTCACCAACCAATGAAAATGAAGAGGAAGCTATTTGTATGCTCTGTGAATTAACATGGAAGGAGGACCAGGATCTCATGCTTGGTCACACATGGATTCAGTGTGACAAATGTGAAAGTTGGATTCACGAACATTGCTTACCAATAGATATGAAATATGATTCTGTGACAAATAAAGATATAGACTTCATTTGTCACAAATGTGAAAGAGACAAATAATATGTGAAATAGTGTACAAGTATTGCATATCATAAACATTGTTTTTTAATATCCTTTTTATTTCAATATGACTTAGATGAAAACATAGACAATGTCAAAATTTTTATGAACATGTTTTTAATAAGTCTAAGCAGCTGTATGCACTAAATCAGTTGTTTACTTCAGCTTGATTTTTGTTTATACATTATGACAGAGTTATTTGTTAATTGTATACATAAGATGATGATATATAATATATGCATATTTCATCCATGACTATTCCATTTTGGTTTTTATTATTCTAAAATAAATTTGAAAATTAATACTTAACAACTTCATTTTTCATTCTACTCACTTACTTTATTGTATCATTTTAGGAGAAGGAGGAAGTCCGAGTAGAAAATTGTGTAATTAAAGGTTATCATGCCTTTAAAATAAAGCCCCCCATGACATCACCACCAACACAATTGATGGTAGATATGGAATATACAAACATCCATGATACGGATGCATGTCTAGTATGGGTACCTGATTTGAACCAGTTTGAATCTGACCTACACAACACTATTACTGATGAAGACAGATATTTCACATTGAAAGACATAGCAGGGTTACCTGTTGGTCATGTTCCTCGTATTCTTGCCAGTTCCTTCAGAAAGCTTATTGAAATGGGTGCTTCTGTGTTTTGTGAGGCAAATGATCACCCTCAACCAAGCTTCTCTCCATGGCCAGCACCCCAAGAAAAGGGTGGAGGTGCTGTTATTCCATGCACGTATATTATAAGACATGATTATAAACAACAGGCTATTGATATTGTCAAAGAGGCCCTAATGAACATGAGTGAAGGGGTGTTTATTAGACTGGCATATTGATCATTTCATTTCTGTGATGTAAAAACAAGTTTATACTCTCAATTTCCCAAAAGAAGCTAGTCGCATTGATTTGACCTTTAATACGTTTAATCATGTTATTCATGTAATATTATTAATGTATAAAAAATTAATAGAAAAAATAATTAATTTTTGTTATATTGTTATAGAATACTTTAACAATATAACAAAATTAATTATTTTTTCTATTACAGATTTTTTAATGAATGGATACAGTAGGCCTAGGCCTATATTACATGAATAACATGACTACATATTATAGATCAAATCAATGCAGCTAGCACCTTTGAATTTGCCATGTAACAAAGTGATTAAAGTGATTAAAGAACGAAAAATGATTTTTACAGTGTCTTTAGATTTATTTTTAGGTGCAGAGGTTCTGTCTAAGCTTAACTGTCAAAATTTGACAGCTAAAGTTATTTTTGAGACAACCCCCAGTAATGATTCGGATCACCTTTACTTGATCCACATTTACTACACAATGGGCTATAAATAGAAACTGTCTCTCTTTCAAAACACACGACGATGAAATGCAGTGACAACATTTCTTGTAAGGTACTGTCATTTGAAAACAAAAACACAAAAATAATGTTTTTAATTACATATTTAATATTAATACGATAGCGAAATATATATATTGATCCGGATTGCCTTCACAATCTGTATCCATATCCAAAGTTTTTTCTCTTTAAATGAAAGGTCTGGAATCAGTATTTTCGGGTAGTATTTATGCAGCCATAGAAATGTGAAATTAAAAAATGCTACCTTAAAAGATCTTCCGTTAGCACTCCATAAACATTAAAAACAATCTGACACAAATCTTAATCCAGTTTGCTCAGGTCATTATGTATATTACACCTCAATTTGATAACACATTGATTGCATCATGCTTACCATATTTGGCAGTCGGGAGTAGACGCTACGTCACAGAGTTGTGTAGAGTTTGTTTTAAGAGTACTGACTACTGGATAATAATTGGACTTAATTATTTTGACATATTTTCTTAAAATTGCCATATTTTCAGTCTATTTGTTGCCATAGCAACCAAAGTTTTCAACATAGGATGAAAAGAAAAAGATGTGCATAATCTCCATACTGCCATCTATCTATATATCAAGTTTATTAAAAATATTTTCAGTTCTTTTTGCGTTATTGCGGGATCCAATTTTGTGGACTGATGGACATCCGACCGAAATGGAATAAGGGGCCATTTCTTTTGTTATTTTCTACTGTTTGATAGAGGGCCAATGGCCCCCTTACTCTATTGTTATGGAATGAACTCTTTTGTTGACTTTTGTTCTGTTTACAGTTAGATGGCCCCTTATCCCTATTCGGTAGTGTGGACAGACGGCCGGAGGGTAAACCTAAAGTCCCCTCCGGTTAAACCAGAAGGGGACTAAAAATATATAATAATTTATAAAGATTTTATCAAATGAACACATCAATAATCGTATAATATATTAGACACCTATTGAACATCATAAACTAAAGTTACCTGATAAGTTCTAATATTATTCATTATTTTGGACAAAATTTAAAACTCAGATCTTGTGTAAAATAAACTCAGCAAGTTCTTACGTAAAATAAACTGTTCACTAGAAAATGAAATGACATTTCAATTTAAAAAGTATTGTTAAACAGAACTTAAATATCAGAGCAATTATCTAGAAAGTTAAAGAACTATCATGTACATTTAATTTTAGAACTATCCTTCACATTTTATTTCAAAATGGCAATAACTATCCTTTACATTTAAGTTTAGAACTATCTTAGAATGACAAGAACTCTTTTACATTTTACTTTAGAATGGCCAATGAGATTCCAAGATTTCATTTTGTAATTTCAAAATGACAAATGAAAACTCTTCTTATATTTAGTTCTTCCCTGTAAATGTTATAGAAAGTTAAACTGAAAACAGACCGGCCTTCCGCCAGAAAATCGAGAGAAACCCCTGTGTGAGGGATGGCGGACGGTACAGTATGCACTTGCTTAGCACATTCTTGAGTGTTTGTAGATGAACCTACAAAGTTAAAGTTTAGCTTTCTTGAATGTTTTGCGGTCACTTAATTGATAAGAAGACAGTTTACTTTGATAAATATGCCCAAAGCGCCTCCTCATAGAAGACTTTCTTAAAATCTCCATTGAAAAGTTACGAACTATTTGAAAGCAAGTTTAAGAAAAAATCACAATTGTTTTGTGAAATACACTGACAATTTACGAAAGTTAAAACGTAAGCGTAAAATTACTATATTTCTTACGAAAAATGTTAGTTAAACGGGCCCTTGCTATCCTGCTCTCTGCAATTTTGTACTCAAATAAATACCTTTCGTTCCATAGCAAAGCTAACTAGTCTGTAATAGTTGACAGAGAGACCATTGTAGAACTGCCTCAGTGCAGGTAACACTGTACAATGGGAGGTAACCGTGTCTACCAAATCTGCTCAATATAAAACAAAATATTTCAGGTTAACACTAGAAATGTGTCCTTAGGACACGGGTGCCCCCACACTCAATTGTTTTGTCAATCTTATGACTTTAGGTCAAATATTTTTTAGGCTACATGTGCAACAAGTTGAAAACTAAAAATCACTTACTAAGTCAAGGGCAAGAACTTTACAAATACTGAATAAATCCACAAGCAAACTCCAAGGTGCATAAGTACATGGCTGACCAACATTCTTGTAAACTTTCAGACCTACAGGTCAAATATTTTTTGAGTTATGCATGAACAAGTTGAAAATTACAAATTTGTCCTAAGTCAAGGGCAAAAACTGAAAAAAATCCACATAAAAAACCCCAGGTGCATAGCTTCACAGTGATGTTGATCATTATTCCTTTAAAGTTGGTTGATTCTAACTCAATCACTTGAAAAACAAATAACACAACATAATGGAACTGTTTTTACTAAGTCAAGGGCAATAAATCTGACTGAAACAGAATAAATCCACAAGAGAAACCCCAGGTGCAAAACTACACATGCTGATCAACATTCCTGTAAAGTTTCATGACACTAGGTCAAATACTTTTTGAGTTATGTGCGACACAACTTGAAAATTGTAAATTTTTACTAAGTCAAGGGCAATAACTCTAAAAAAACTAAATATATCCACACGAAAATACCCAGGTGCACAACTACACATGCTGATCAACATTTCTATAAAGTTTCATGACTCTAGGTCAGATACTTTTTGAGCTACATGTGACACAAGTTGAAAATTGTAAATTTTTACTAAGTCAAGGGCAATTACTCTAAAACTACAAATGCTGATCAACATTTCTATAAAGTTTCATGACTCTTGGTCAAATACTTTATGAGCTACATGCAACACAAAAGAGAACGAGGGAAGGAAGGAAGGACGGACACACAAGGGTAAATCTAAATGCCCATCCTATAGTGGGGGCACAATAAAGATTTGTATAAATTTTAACAGTTCTCCTAATGGGATACTCAGGCAAATTAATGACAAAAACATTAAAATGATCTTATGTACTCAAATCATGCTAAAATGACATTTTTTAAAGTCCCAGCACGAATTTCTGTATAAATTCTATATATTGTGGATTTGAATCGTAAATATATCTATATATGTTGAAGTTGGCAGCCTTGCAGCCTAAAGAAAACTAAGAAATAGTACAAACATGAAAACGGTCTGAAATGCATTCTTACTTAGATCATTCCACACCTTTTTTCAATATCTTCATCTTAATTTTTAAAGATGTTGAACTTTATTTTTTTTTATGCTTTGAAATTTGTGAAGTTAGCAGTCTAGCAGCTTGGCAGCCTAAAGAAAACTAAGGATAGTACAAACATGAAAACAATCGGAAATGAACGTATGGCACTTACTTATACCATTCAACGCCCTTTTTCAACGATTTCCATGTGCAATTGTTAATTTCTATAAATCGTACTAATATCAGGAAATCTTTGGCTTATTGGTTCTTTAAAAACTTTATTTTTATGAAAATACATGTACGTGTATTGTTATACATGAAATAAAAATATATATTGATGACCATCAGAAACTGAATTTATTTTATCATATTCATATACACAATACCCCTTAATCAAATTAATGCTTTTATGATGCAAGACAGCAAATTCTTGCATATCAGACAGGATTATCTACCGTTTACACCGGTGCTAGAAAACCTTGTCTTACTTGTATCATAGTTTGGGGACCTTTCTGTTGAAAAAGTGTCCAAGTTAAATCGTATACATATACATGCACCGTGCATTAACTGGAGTGCAGGTATTAGTTACCAGCACTTCAGAGCATGCCCATTCATTGGCTCATTTTTGCTGGGGTTTACTTATTGTGACGGCAGAGAAAGTGAAAGCAACAGAAATGTCATATTTAGATGCTCGTTCATTGGTTACTTTTCTCCAGGGTTTCATATTGTGACAACAGGGAATGTGTTTTTATGTTTGACTATGATACAAAAGAGAAAGAACATCAAAACACTCTGCAATCTGATTTATACTCGGGGGCTATGCCCCCTCGTATAAATCAGATAGCCTCGTGTTTCGATGCTAAGACAAGTAAGACAAGTCTTATATGAATGAATTGCGTTCTTAGGATGACGTCACTTAACTGTTATGAATGAAGTTGTAACTTCATATGCTACTATAAAAAAAGTGCGTAATGAGAATATCAGTTTTTGTAATTTCTGTTCTGAAAATAATTGATATGTAATATGCAAGAAAAAGAATCAAACACTGGCTGTCGGTGCAGACGGGAATATCTAGCTCTCGGGTAACTGTTTAGCAGAAACTCGGCAGAGCCTCGTTACCGCCGTAAACAGTCACCCTCGAGCTAGATATTCCGGTCTGTACCGGCAACCGGTGTAAGATCAATACTTACCCCATTACGGAGTGACAGCAAAAGGGTGCGCACCTTTCTCAGATTTAAATTACTTTTAGCAATAACTTTTTTTGTTATTTAAAATGAACTACCTCAAATCACCGTGTAGTTTTAAAACAAGTCATGTGACTTGAACAAACCCTGGAAGTTACAATAACAGATATTGTGGATACTGTATGATTGAAACAAGTCTAAGTCATTCATTTGACTTGTTCTTTAACGTTTCCAGAGTTCATGCTCTAACCTGACCAGGCCGTGTGGGTTAAGTTAGGAAACCACCATTTTTTTAATAGGGAGAAAAGTTTTGTTCCTGTGACTGCCTAGTGTATTCATTTTGAGGACATTTGCATAATAATGAATGAAAAATTCAAAATGAAAGAAATAAAAATTTTGCGTCTGTCTTCCTTTAAAACATTTGATTATCTATTCCTGGAAAATATGAAATGGTAACTATTCAGTACAGTTGCTCAAAACTGACAGAAGTTTTGAGGTCAATTACAATTTGACTGAGGTAAACTTAAATTATCTTCTATAGTACTTATTGAGTTTTGCAATATAAACATTAGTACACACAATTTTGGAATGGCCTAGTATTGATATTTTGCCGGATTGTGCATCTGGATCTCAACTGCAAGACCATGTATATACAAGCCTAGCCAGGATCCCATGTTATTTGCTTTCATATAAGACCAGTATTTAAATGATAAGGTCAACAATGGGCACATTTTCCATTAGTAAGTTAACCCATTACTGCATGAGCATTTTGTGAAAAATGGCTGTTTTCATTGAAAAGTCTCCCGCTACAAGTTCAAATTGCTATTAAACTATGAAAACTGCTTCAATACTAATTAAACTTGGCACAAATGTTGACTGGAACATTGACTTTGTAGCAACATGCTCAATCTTAAATTTTCTGTTACCATGACAACGAGGTGACATCTCAAAATTGCCAAAAATCAATATTTTGCGTTGATTTTTTCCATCAAAATTGATTTCAAAGTGCTGCAACTTCTCAATGGATTGAAATAGAGGCAAAGCCTTTTTAGCTTTGGTTACACGTTACCTTATGATCGATCAGGGGTCACTTTTAGCCTCTCACAAGTCCAAAGTTTTCTTCGCGATGAGGGGGACTGCCGCTCCAAACAGAAGGGGGCACATCCCCCTTCTGGTAACCCCCTGATGTATCTTTTGGATAGGGGTTTTGGATAGGGGGGCACGCCGAAAAAGTGGTCACTTTTTTAAACATCATTTCTCAAACAAAAACAAGTGTTGGGGGGCCTAAATAAGGCATTTTTTTACCATTTTAGACAACAAAAAGGGGGGGGGGGGATGAAAAAATCGTTAAAATGTGTGTATATTGTTTAATTTTTTTTTCTAGAACATATTGTACAGACTGCTATATTCATATCATTTCCCCCCACCCCCTCCAATTTTGGGCATTTCTATGAACAATAAATTGTTTGACTATCAAGATTAAGGTCATTTTATGGTGAAGACCATTTGTGAATAGCTCAGCTTGATGTTGATTAGCCCAAATGTGAATCAAATCAGTCCATCAATGACAAAGTTATGGCAACAAGAAATGTGTCCATAGGACACCGATGCCCCCACACGCCACTGTTCTGTCAATCTTATGACTCTAGGTCAAATATTTTTTGGACTACATGTGCCACAAGTTGAAAACTAAAAATCAACAAAGGGCCATAATTCTGTTAAATTTGGTCGCAGCAAAAATTCCTTCCTTTACTACCATTTACACATTAAGGTTGTTAATCCCTGGAAGTTTAAGCAAAATCTGCCATCCGGTTTAAGAGGAGTTGCGTTCACAAAATTTCTACATAGTATATAATGAAAAAATCAACAAAGGGCCATAATTCTGTTAAATTTGGTTGCAGCAAAAATTCCTTCCTTTACTGCCATCTACACATTAAGGTTGTTCATCCCTGTAAGTTTAAGCAAAATCTGCCATCCGGTTTAAGAGGACTTGCATTCACAAAATTTCTACATAGTATATATGAAAAAATCAACAAAGGGCCATAATTCTGTAAAATTTGGTCGCAGCGAAAATTCCTTCCTTTACTACCATCTACACCTTAAGGTTGTTCATCCCTGTAAGTTTAAGCAAAATCTGCTATCGGGTTTAAGAGGAGTTGCGTTCACAAAATTTCTACATAGTATCTAGTGAAAAAATCAACAAAGGGCCATAATTCTGTTAAATTTGGTCGCAGCGAAAATTCCTTCCTTTACTACCATCTACACATTAAGGTTGTTCATTCCTGTAAGTTTAAGCAAAATCTGCCATCCGGTTTAAGAGGAGTTGCGTGCACAAGATTTCGGGACGTACGGACGGACTGATGGACGGAAGTTCTAACAGGAGAGTAATTATGTGGCTACTCTTTTGTTCTCTCTATTGTTCTTTTTAGCCACACAAAAGAAAATAGCCACATAAAAGCATTACGGAATGAATGACATCAAAGAGAAAGAACAGTTACCTATTGTCCCTCTAGCCACATAATTACTGTCCTGTGAGTGCGGACGTACTGACGGACGGACGGACAAGTGCAACGCTATATGC